ACTCCGCGAGGACCTTGTGCCGGCCGGCCGCGACCGCAAATTCACCGCTCGCAGCGCAGCGACCACGCCCCCTACGCGCGACGCGCGGTCGAGGCTACCGCCGCCCCGTCCCCCACCGACCGCCACGCGTGCTCCATTACCCGCCGCGGGAGGTGGCTGCTGGCTCCACTACAGTAATGTCAATCTATAGCTAGTCTCCAAATCGCATCAGCGAGTACTCTGGGCGCCTCGGACTGCTGCTGGGCGCGTCCTGGGCGCGTCCGGGGCGCGTCCGGGCGTCCGGCGTGTCCGCCGGGCGTCCGGGCGCGTCCGGGGCGCGTCCGGGCGCGAACCCCCCGCGTCCTCCAGTGAGTCAACGTGACACGCTGAACACGCCGTGAAGCACCTGGGAGCCTTGGCGCCCAGAAGCAGGCGTGCCGTCGCGAGTGCGGGTTACGAAACAAGACGCCTTACCAGCGCACCGAGGTCGCGCGTCGCCGTGGACGCGACGAAGAGCCCCGAGACCGCCGCGAGCGCGGCGAGCCACGCGTCGGGGCCCGCGCTCTTCGGGTGGGCGCCCTCGGATTTCCGCCGCAGCCGCAGCAGCGCGACGGGCGGGAAGAGCCCCCAGAGCAGGGCCACGGGGTAGGCCCCCGCCCAGTCCATGGCCGCGAAGAACACGCCCGGCGACGTGAGCGCGACGCCAACGGCGGGCAGCGCCGCGAGGAGCGCCGCGAGCTCGCGCCGGGCGACGGCCTCGGGCACGTCGGACCGGAGCGCGAGCGCGGAGCCGAGGGCCGTCGTCGCGACGGCGGACGCCGCGAGCGCCGCCGTCGCCGCGCGCGTCGCCGGCGCCGCGAGGAGGACGTCGACGGGGTCGACGCGCGGCGCGCCGAGGCCGAGGCCGAGGTAGGCCCACGCGACCTCCAGGAGGAGCGGGCACAGCGACCCGAACGCGAGCGCGAGGCGGACGCGCCGCGGGTCGCCGTCGAGGAGCCCGCTCACCGTGGGCACGGTCTCCGCGAAGACGAGGAGCTGGAGCAC